TAGAAAATGCTGGAAAATATTAAAAGCAGCCTGGCTGTGCTGCAAGTGAGGAAAATAGCGGCATTGCAGGTGCAGCTGAAGGTGCAGGTGTATTGTCCAAGCGCCGCCATTTTGTTGGCCAGCATTTTGTTAATTTTCACCAAATGCCAAAGGAGAAAGGCAAGAAAGTCGCCTCAATGCAAGGTCCTTGTTGGCTGCTTATGCCAGCCGCCAACAACGACGACAACAGCAGCAGCAGCAGCAAAACTTTGAGCAACGCCATTTTGTTAAAGCGCTGACGCCATTTTGTGTTTTGCTGCTGCTGTTGTTGTTGTTGTTGTTGCTGGTGTTGCTGTTGCTGCTTCTGTTGTTAGCGCTGTGAGGCAGGCAAAATGAATTCATAATTAGATGACACCATCCGTGCGTAAATAATAATTTTCGCCGTTTTTTATTTTTCTTATTCCTTTGCTGCTAGTTAGTTAAAATGCGCGAATGAGTTTTCTTGAGTTGAGTTGAGCCGCCATCATCTCTTCATCATCTCCATCTCCGGCTACATGTTCATCCCATCATCCCATCTACCCACAGGCAATTGTAAAGAAAAATTTGTGGCGGCACAAGTTTTTTGCCAGCCTCGCTACTTCTTCTCATCGCCATCGCTCGCTGCACTCGGCTCTGTGCGTAAGGTTGCAAAACTTTTTATCCAATGGGTGCGTCTTATTTTCAATGCACTTCATAAATTGAGCCTCTTACCAACGCTAAGACATTCGCATATCTAAGGGAAAGAGTGCCTAATAATTAAAACAACCTATTTCAATGGAGGGAAAGTGATAAGAGCTAAAAAATTTCTCAATCCCGGCAACGATAGTCTTAGGCTTTGCAGGCTAAAATTATAAAATATAAATCTCAGGGAAAAAATGCGTTGTAAATAATGTTCAAATGCATATTTGAAACTCTCTTTTCTACTATTTCCGAATTTTTTTTAATATACGTATACTTCATTTTATAAAATAGCTAGCTGTAAAAGCGGAGATTGCTCTATAATTCTTTCGTAGGTACAAGTAAAGTAAAGTAATTTGTTACGTTGCATTGGTTTTTACGTAATAACGCTTTTGATCGATTTATTCCTTTTCTCTGCACAATGTTTATGTCTATGTTATTTGTATGTATGTCTGCCTAATTAATTATGGCACGTCTTTTTAGGAATTTTGGAATTTATTTCATTTCATTATTAAATATTTACTAGTTAAAAAAAAATAAGACTTCCATGTTTTGCAAATAAGATCTTTATTTCTAAATGTGCATCACACGTTATTCGACTTTTTATCTCTGTTAATATATCTGTTAATAATATCTATTAGCTGCAGATTCGTTCTAATAATTATTGAATTCTACCCTAACATTGTTTATAATTTGTTATCTCTGTTTTGCAAATATATAATTAATATCTGTTAGCTGCAGATTCGTTCTAATAATAACACTGGTTATAACCGCTGATTTCTTTTTCCATCATTTTTTCAGCTGCAAATTGTATTTAATTGAAAAAAAAAGTGTCGTCGCACAATTCCAAGTCTTATCACCAAAATTCAGTTGACGGACTTAACCATTAATTACGTCGTTGGTACAATTAAATTGGCAATCTTTTAAATATATAAATTTTGATAAGCCAATTGTCGTTTCTTGTTGGCATCTTAAGTAGCGATAAGATATGAAAATATTTCCCTAAAAGCCTCGATCTGTGCGTGATTTTTAATTGGAAAAGCTCCTTTTAAAGCATCGGGATGTCGACTCGGGATATGCATACTATATTCCTGCGTTTCACTTCGTTTTGGCCAAGTTGCAGCGCCTCTATCAACGCGCCCACATCATCTAGTTTGGTTGCTCTTCTCCACTGTTCGTTCGGCTCTGTTCCTGTTCTGTTCTGTTCTGTTTGTTTCTTTATCGCGCATTTACCAAGTGCCAAAGTTTTCTCGTTATAAGTTTTGTAGCCTTTGTGTGTCTCTCGCGCGAGCTCAGCGCGCTCGACTCGCAGTGCAAAACTTTCGATATTTCTTCAAAGTTTATGGGGCCGCGAGTTGGCCCCCGAAAAATAAGGCTTCGGCCTGGCAGTCGCTTGCAACACGTTCGTGCAACTTGGCAAACAAAAAAATTATATTATTTTATTGTTGTTTGGCTGGCGTGCGCTGCTGCCAACGCTCCGAGAATCAGCATAACTTTATCCTTAACACTTTTTTTTGCTGCTCCGGCTGCTCGGCCGCATTATCCTGTCGAAAGTTTGGTACGCAAATAAGTTGAAGTCTTGCCTTCCCATTTCTTCTGCCCAGCCCTGCCTGGGCCTGGGCCTGGGCCCTGCCCGACCGGAAGTCTTGTGCATTTGCCGCTCCGCTATAACTTTGGCTCCATTTGCTGCGCCATTTTGCAGGACTCGCACACCAGCACAACCAGCAGATATGAGTATGTGAGTGTGTGCGTGTGTGTGTGTGTGTGTGTGTGTGGCATAAGTGGCAGTGACAACGTCGCGTGCCCGCTCACAGATAAGCGAAAAGTATTTGCATATTCACATGCAGAGAGAACTGCAAAGTGCACTTTAAATTCTTGCAAATGAGTAGCTCAGCTCAGTGCATCCGAACGGATTTGCAAACATTTTATTAAGAATCGCGAACGTTTTCTATTGCTTTAGTTGGGCATAAGCGTGGATATTGAAATTGAACGTATATATATTAGGAATGTAATGGAGCTGAGATAGGGCTTACGTCTACAGTCGAGGCAATATTCACGACCAAGATTTTATTTCAAAATGCCGCTGCTCTGAGAGTATAGTTAAATTATAATTAATTTACTCTTTCTATACATTTCTAGCAAGTATAATTATTGTAATCTTGAAATGTTGACTAGTTAGAGAAATGAAAGTTACCTGATACTTGAAATGCTAAGGGTAAGATTAATAATTAAATAAATCTAAATAAATAGTCATTGCTACCTGTAACTATATTAAAGCAACTCGAACCAATATGCAGGCATAATCTTATATTAAAACTGAATTATAAAGTATTATTCCTTCAAGATGTTTTACAAACTTATTTGAAAATATAATTTCTAATTGAACTAGATATGTCAAAAATTGAAGACTTTAAGTCTTCCAAATAACTTTAAACTAGTTTATCACACATTTTTCTTTTCCTTCTTCTTTTTTTAATTCTTTAAAAAATTATGAACAACAAATTTTGTAATTATTTGAAAAACTACAGTTCACAATGCTTAAGGGGTTTCCAAAAATACAAGAACTGAGATCTGCTTTAGCAACAATTGTCCCTGCATTCCCAAAGTATAAATTTGTTTATTCAGTGCCCATATATGTCTGTTCAGACAAAATCAAACTAACAGTGAGTGGCGCCATATGGGAAAAGTGCTTATAGACCGAAGGCATATGGTCAACATTTTAATAAATGCATTTATTTAACGCATTATTTGCGCAACAATGTGCCATGAACACACGTTTGGCGAACAATTAATATGCAATAAAAGATAAATAGGCATAATGGTTGCAATTATTTTTCACAGTCCCACACACACACACACACACACAGACTATGGAGTGCCGGGGCGTGTGGGAAGATTTATAGGCAAAGCAGGAACTAATTTTCAAGGTCATTAGAATGCGGCAGCAACGGCAGCCATCGCATCCTTTTGTTGTTAATGTTTATGATAATGGCGACAACAATGGACTAGGCTGGGCTGTGCCATTATTATTGTTGTTGTTGTTGTTGTTGTTGTTGATGCTGCTCATGCGTAACCCATAAATACGCGGCAGTCAAAACAATTGCAGACAGATAGACAGAGGGAGGGACGGATGGAGAGCCATTGCTTAGACAATAATGCAGTGGAAAATCAACGCAATCGATAGGCAGTCGGGGCCCCACAAAATCGAAACTATTGTCCATGTGCGACGGCAACAACAACAACAACAAGGGCACTTGGAACGTGTCCTTTTCGCAGGCGTGCACCAAATGGCATAACTTCCGTTTTTGTTTTGTCAAACGTTGTGCGCTGTCCATTTCTGGAAATTACGGAAATTATCAATAAATATACGAGCGAGGCGCACGGCCCAAGCTCCCAAAAAATACAAAGCTCTCTGGCGTTCGCTAACAATTTATGCCCGAACCAATAATATTCCTTTTTATTTGGCTTTGATTTTTATGCAACTTGTTGTTGCTGCTGCTGCTGCTGCTGTTGTTGTTGCTATTATTGTTGCTGTTGCGGAAGCATCATTATCATAAATTATCATTTTGGAGGAATTGCATCCGGTTGTGCCGCAATCGGCCTACAACTATGGCAACAACATTTCCATTGCCATTGCATTGCCTTCATATCCTGTGTGCATTTCGTTGTTATCCTGCAAGAGCATGTACTCGTATTGTCAGGGCCATACACATAGTATATATTTCAACACCCAAACATTTATTTTCTATCCTAATTTATGACCAACCAGCACAAAAAGTATCAAACATCCCACGCAATTTTTCGTATTGTTTGCGCAAAATTTTCGTACAAATTGTGAACAACTTTTCATTAGTTCAATACTTTGAATAATTCTAAGCAACATCGGTGTTGACATTCTATATTTCGTATGATTTTTGTGTAGGCTTGGCAACGTGATAAACTTTAACTCTTTGAATTAGCGAATAATTTGAATTGATCAAAAAATTATGAATTTCAAAGATTCAACGTTACAAGAACTAAGCCGAAGAAAATTAATCCAAAGAAAACTACTTGTAATCCAAATAAAACAATTCTTTAAAAATCAAAAATAAGGAAATAAATAAGAATAATTGAAAATTCCTCAAACAGTTAACAGTTAACAGTTTGTGTTCATCATAAGTTTTTTCAAATATGGATTAACTTTAGTCGGCTCAGTATACAAAACATCTTTAGTTTTTACTCAAACCGGCGATAACCAAAACACCCAGATCTTTGTAGGTAAAGGAATGCAGCATATAGTAGTATCAACAAATTATCCAAATCGGTTACTTTAAAATACTTACATGTATACACGTATATATATTAAAAAATATCTTACAAGTATATTAATAATCTACACCCACATACAATCAAGCCAACGCGACACCACAATTCTCAATGTAATTGAATAATCTTGAACGGCTTCTCGCTTTCTAGTGCAGCCTTCGATTTCGATTTTGAGAGTCACGTATCGGCAGCTGGCATCGCCCGTGATTCACATGATTCAGTCCAAGAGCGAGACGTGATTGAGGTCGTCCCGCCGGACAATACATACGAGTATGACGATGCCTTTGTCCCAGTCATTTGGCGATTCATTTGGCGCTGTTTGCCATATTTGTGTGGAGCAGCGGCGTTCTTGGTCCACAGTTGTTTTTTTTCTTTGCAAAGCCTTGCATGCCATCACGTTAATCACGTTCGTCCAAGTGGTGAAAATCTGTTGAGTCATATCATAAGTACTAATTACATTTAGGATAAAGATATTTAGAAATGGGAAATACTTCGAATGCGAATCATGGATATGAAGATGGCCACCAATATAAGTACATAGTCCATATAGAGTACAAAGGCGATCAGCAAGGTATCGTCTTTTATCACAATATCGCTGCCATCGTAGGTAATTAGCACATGGGATATCATTAGGATTACCACACTGCATAGAAGCACAGCCAAAGCTGCATCCATCGTATGTTTCCAGGACTGTATTGTGTCCAGAGCAAATATCACAATGACCACAATGAATCCCAGAATGGCGATTGCGGCCAATTTGAATGGATGCGGGTAGTTCCAGTTGTTAATCAGAAACCAACATATAAATAAAACGGCTGCCCAAATCATAAAAGTCACTGCCACTACAATCATGGTAGTGATTAGTTTTGTATTCATTATGAAAGTTCCCAATCCGACAGTCATCAGACCATAGCACAATATTATGCATATCCAGTTCAGGGGCTTCTGATATTTCAATTTATGACTCATGTGTATCAGAGTTAGCACGACGAACGAGCCAAAGAAACAGACTAGCGTATAGATTATGTGCTCCTTTGTCGTATAGATCGATATCAACATCCATATCGGAATGGCGCCCAACAGAAAGTACGATGTAATTTGCAGAGTCTGCCGGATAAAGTCTTTAACATCAATGACCCCATTGTCATCATCTGGCATGATCCACTGCTTACAAATTTCAGTTTTCGATCAGTTTTTGATTTTGCAAGTAGTGGGAATTCGTTTTGAATGCGCAGTTGGTTTGAATATAACTAAAAATTTTGTTGTACACATTTTTGAGACGGAATTCTTGTTTATTTAATTTGATTTTTAAGTCAAAAGTTGTGCAGTTCTCAAACAGTTCTGGAATTGTAACGATTGATATAGAATACGGAAGATCAGCATCGAAGTATATGATAAATAATGGTATATTTTTTTGAAGATAAGTCATTAAAATTATTATTATATCATAGCTATTTAAAAACATATATTATACAAAGTAAAACAAACCATTCCCATAGCGTTTAATAATTATATTGAAACATGAGATTATATATATGACACCCAAAGTTCGGATCTCAATCCCAAAGACATGTACGGGAACTTATAGAGGAAATGATAATGAAGCAACAATTCCCATCCATTAGCTACTAAGCGGAAGAAAATTAATCCTAAAGACTTAAAGGCCACCCTGCAAAATATAGCAAATTAATTATTATTATTAATAGAAATATAATACAAGAATATAATACAAGAATTTAGCGTTTTTTGCTTAATTGTTATTGTTTTGAAAATATGTAATCCTTGGAATGTTAGTTTTTCTTTTTGATTACAAACTTATTGTTAGTTTAATACTTACCTCACCGCAAATGTTGTTTTTAGGTTTATCCAATATTCAGGCTCTTTTAGCGATAACGTTCAACCACTCGACATAATTTCGCATAGTCAGTTCCCCCTCCCCGTGGCACACATCTCTCACACCATTGTGCAGGACACATGCCAACGCAGCCGCAAAAGTGTCGACTCTACACCTCAAGTTTTGGGCCAGAAAATTGAGGCCGCATGCGTCGACAAAGTATATATGTATATATGTATATCGAGTTGAAGCCGTACAAAAAAACGCAACATAAATGAAAAATTTGTCGCTTAAGCCGGCGACCATCTCTTACACACACGCACACACACACATGCACACGTACTCACGACAAGGACACTTGAGCGGGCCCAAAGTTCTTTGAAGTTACAGAAAAACTGCGACCCATGGGCGGGCAGTTTGTCTCCAAGGAAATAAAAAGTAATAATAAAATCAATCTGCGGCTGCCGCTGCTGCTGCTCCCATTTTTATATTTTTTTTGTTGTCGTCCCTTTTTTTTAGCTGGGCCGACAAGAGGCTTTATAAAGTAAATGCCACGAGCTGAGCAGCTCAATAAAAATTGAGCCCAGACGACAAAAAAAGGACATGTTGGAAAAAGCTCCGTACGTAGATACATATATAAGCATTATAATGAAATATAAAATAAAAGCAAATCGTATGTGTATGTGTGTGTGTTTGTGTTTGTCGGTCGGAAATTAAATTGGTAAAACCAATCAAATAAATGCGCAAAAATAAAGGAAGCCACGCCTGTGCTGGCTGGCTGGCTGGCTGGCTGGCTGGCTGGCTGACTGGACATCACCTGTCGCATGTTTTGCCTCAAAATTTTTAATTGAAAAATCGCTTAATACGGCGACCGGCCATCGACGGCTTGGGGCATGATGAATTCTGCACATAATTACAAGCGATTAAAATCTGTGAAAATTTATTAAATTCCATAAATCAGCGCCTGTTCGCCCTCCCATCGTTGGCAACTCCTTTGACAATTATAAATTATGCGTCGGTTATGGCAACCGACCATCCAGGCTTGAAGGGTAAACCACAAAATGTCATCAGGGAAAGGTTGCAACCCCTCACCCAGTACACCCATCCCCCTCCCCATCCAACACCCCCCACGCAATCAGACACTCATAGTTTGCATTTGCTGCTCGATGGATGCTCGACGATAAAAATTTTCATTTCTCTGCCATGACATAATTATACGAATACTTGCAACCCTCAGGGCGAATCACACAATTATGACGTGTAGTCTCTCTTGTTCAAAATTTTCGGAATCATTCTCAACTTGACAGTGCATCGAGGCGTTCATATGACAATTGTGGCTATGCTGTTGTGGCAACCTGTTATTGCAGCTGATTTTGAGCGACCACAAATCCACAGGCCCAATTAGTTGAGTTTTTAAGAGCAAATATCAGTTTGTGATTGTTGTTTGCCAACGATTTAATTGGCTTTACAAAATTAGCATGCATTTCATGCTTCCAAAGGCTTAAGCAATAGAATTACCGAGAAATACAACGAATAAGATTGGCAGCAAAGCTCATACCATAATGAAAAAAAAATAACACACATCATAATAATATATAATTAATACTCTTTAGTATCATTTAAGTATACTCAGAGAAAAATACAAACAAGAAATCTAGACCCACTGGACCTGAATTAGTACCTTTTCCAGGTTAATTTTTATACCCTGTACCCGTAGGGTAAAAAGGGTATATTAGGTTTGTGCAAAGTATGTAACATACAGAAGGAAGCATCTCCGACCCCATAAAGTATATATATTCTTGATCAGCATGACGAGAGAAATCGATCTAGACATGTCCGTCCGTCTGTCCGTCTGTCCGTCCGTCTGGATGAACGCGAGGATCTCAGAAACTATAAAAGCTAGAATAACCAAAGTTGGCATCCAGATTCTCCTAGGTCCGAGTAAGGACGAGTTTATTTTATTTTTTGGAATTTTCCCCCCCTTCCCCCGCTACAGAATTTCGTCAATAGCGTCCACATTTCAAATGCTACCTAAACTAAACTTTGCACACATAATTGATATAAAATTGTCTACTGTTGTTCAAAATTTTATTCAATTCGGTCAATTCTAAGAAAAGTTATTAGCAAAACAAATGCTCGCCAGTACAACCCTCCAAACTGCAGCAACAAGTTCTCTCTTCTTCTTCCTCTTTTTGCTTCTGCTATGGGCGCATATAACTCAGTGACGGAAGTTTACCTGGGTACAGGGTATTACACTGTCGGGCTTGCTCGACTGTAGCGTTCTCTCTTGTTTTAAGCAGCTTTTGTATTTGAGTTCACCTGAATCGAGAACATTCTTAGTTTTAGATTTTTTCTCCGAAATATTTGAGACAACATTTTAAAGATGTCCGCGTCTTGGATTCGATTTATTATTAGAATTAAAAACAAAAGCGACAAAACTTCCATATTAACGAAACAGTTATTAAAAATGTATACTTATATAAAATATTAGGTAGCAAACAATTATCTTTTTAATTGAACATAATCAATATTATTGCCTTCAAGATTTCCCCAACAAAGAAATTTGAAGGTCTATAATATCTATAATTGTGTCACAATTGACATGAGTTTATTCATATGAGGAAAGGAGCTTATAAAGGAGAATTTTATTTATATCTAAATATTTTGTATTTGTATATATTTGTTTGTTATTTATGTCTTTTTACATAAATAAAAGCACTTGTTTTTCATAAACATTGCTTAATACGAGCAGCAGTATTTTCTTTAAATCTAAGTAAATTGCTTATTTGCGAATTTAAGAGAAATCGATGAAACAGTTCGTTGAAAAGTGCACACCTTAAGCCCCATAATGTTTGTTTGCGCCAGAGCTTAACAAAGCAAACATACACACACACACACACGCATATATTCGTACAGCATGGGCGACGTCATCAACCTGCTAATAGATCGGCGATAAAAGCGGCGAAACGTACCCTGAACACCCAGCCATAAAACACAAAAATAATCAACTTTAAATCTAACGATTTAGAATGACTTTGCCGGGAAGCAAAGCGGATTTTGCAACATATTTACAGGCAGCTTAACATTCGTGTGCGTGCAAACGAGGTTGGCTGGCAGGGTTGAGGGTTGCATTTTCGATTAAAACACAGCAACAGATAAGCTACACAATTTACATACATAAATCAAAGAGTTGCAGTGGCAAGATCCGAAGCCACCACACCACACTTGGAATACTTCCCCCCGAACTCAGACCCAAAAACAGAAACTTGACATTTCCCACTTGGTCAAACAGGCGATGTGCGATGGGCGATGGAAGACGGTCTGAAGAGGCGACAAGCAGCAACAACTTATGGCGACATCGATAGTCCAAATACGTATACATCGAGCAAGAGGAAGGGAACGGTGGAGGTGGAGAAAAACCACTCGACAAGCTGTTGGCATACATACAACTATTCTATATAGTATGTACATAGCACATGCGAGCGATGAAAGACTCTTGAAAGTATGCTACAGTTTCCAGTCTCTTCGTACACGCACCCGGCAGCTCGCTGGCCCATTTTGTCCGTCATTTATCTTCGGTGTGTGCCCCAAAAAAATAAATAAATTTATATAGAAAGGAGGAAAAAAATTAACGAGAAATGTCTACCATTCAAACTTTGTTTGTCTGCTTTTTTTATCTTTTACAATTAGATGCGTTGTTCGTTGGTTTTTTCCTCTTATTCTCCGTTTTTTCGTCCTTCTCGGTTTATTTTCCTGTTGCCGTAGATAAATGAAATTTTCGTTAGTCCCTGTTATCATGTGATTAAGGAAGGAAATTGTTTTGGACAACAAACAAACAAATAACGCACATGGGGTTTGTTGTCTACTGCAGTTATACATTTATTTCTTCCACTTTTTTTGGCTCTTGGTCTCTCGCAGCTGGCGGTCAGGTTTTATCGCCTAAGTAGCATCATTTAACTGCCTGCTGCGGTTGCTTTTTTTTGCCATTTGTTGTCTGTACAAGTTGTAATTTGTTGTGGCTTGTTTTAGCCAAATATATAGGAATTTTCGATTAAGGAACGGGAGTCACAAGTTGGAAGATACTCGTATAACTGCATAGAGTTGGGCTTAAGTTCAGCTATAAAGCTATGGGCAATTTAAATTCTTGATAAACTAGAACTTCTTTTAAGGAAATTGGTAATGATGTATGTTCTTGTCTTCATTGCATTCACTGTAAACGTAAATTAATTTTTATGGCAGCCACTGGCAAAGCGAACACACGCTCGCCAACTTATTGAGGCAAACAACTAGATTTCAATAATTGAAAACAATTGCATAACAAACAGTTTGCGCCCAAGATCTCAATGTTAATTTCCTTCGATTATGGCTTAAATAGCTTAACTAGTAATTTATCTATTAAGGTAG